CACACACACACACACACACAAATACACACATGCCTAAGCAACTGTTGGACTGGTAGCTATGATGCGCACTGACCACCAGGGGGCAGATGCTCGACACACAGGCATGGAAACATGGAACAGACTGATGAATCTCAGAGGGAAGGGTGGAGGGGGAGGGCGGGAAGAGATTAACCAAAGATCTTATATGCATACTAGAGGCTCCGGTGCACAGATTCATGCATAGGTGGGTCCCCTCAGCCTGACCTGCGGGGATCAGGCTGAAACCGGCTCTCTGACATCCCCCAGAGGGTCCCAGATTGCGAGAGGGCGCAGCTCAGGTTGAGGGACTCCACCGATGCGCCTCTAGTAAGTATATAAGAGTTTTAGAGTCAGACTTTTCTTCAAATTTTAGTTTCTTTATTGTTTAAATGTGGTATCCATGAGGTTCTGTGTGAAGTATATAGCACATGATCCTACCTATAAATGAATACATTTTTAAATTTATTGGTTGTTTTTTTTTGTGGGGTTTTTTTTTTTTTTTTTTCAGTAAAATTCTATTTAGTTTATGGTATGTGGTTGGTGGATTTTTTACTGTTGAGTTCAGCTTAGCATAGAACCAACATGTCTCCTCACTAACTTTGTACAGATTGCAAATCGTAATGTATATACTTTCAAAGCTACTTGCTCAACTTAAACTTTTGAATAATTGTTTTTTATATGCTCTTTTAAGCTGTTTGAACAGTTTCTGAACTAAGTTATTTTTTGTAATATCTTCTGGACATTAGTACAACAAACCAAATAGATTTTAAATAGTAAAAATGGGTGATTTATATCATCTAATAGACTACTTTTCTCTCTAGGACCCAGAAGAATTAGAAAAAGAGATTAGAGAAGAGCCTCCAGTGAATACCTCTAAAGTCCGTCCAAAACAGGAAAAAGCTTTTTCTTCAAAAACCATAAGCACTAGTGATCCAGCAGAAACACTCATCAAAAATAGCCAGGTGATTTTTTGATATTTAAGAAGTAAAATTTTAATGACTTGAGAATTATATTATAATTAATATTTTATTGAAGTATTGTGCTAAGTATTTAAAATGCTCAAAATAATTTATTCCTCACAAAAACACAAGAAGGTAGGACCCATTTTGTAAATGAGGTTAGAGAAGTTGAGTAAACTTGTCCAAAGTTGCATAGCTATCAATGGCAAAATCATCAGATCTGCTAGTGTGTATTTTCTCCTATTAACCATCTAGGCACACAGGGATCAAGAGATAGCTTAGAGAAAATGTGACTGGTTGCATTTTTTCCAAAGCATGCACATAATATGATTATGGTCCAGCCTCTCAAAATGGAGCATTTATTAAATTTGGTAACAGGTTCTTAAAACATGTGCCTTTTGTGGAAATTTTTGATGTGTCAGAAGGCACCATTTTACAAAAGGTCTAAGTCACTGACACAGACTGATTGATATTTAGGTGAATTGCATCATGTTGAAATATATTAAATACTACTGGAGTTGAATGGTTCATTTATTTAGTCATTAAAAAAATATATTGGGTACCATATGCCACACACTGTTTTAGATTCTGGGGATACAATCGAGAACAAAAGCTAATCTCTGCCTTTGTGGAGTTTACTTGCTTAACAAAACAGCTTTAGACAAGAACCGGGATTACCACTAAGAGAGAGAATTCATAACCGTCTTGTCCTAAAACACAATCATAACCATTCTTCCTATTAGAATTGGGTGCTTTTATTTCCCTGAGAGTACTTGGAGATAAAAGGATGCAATCTCAATACATTCATAGGTTTAATAGGACTACAAAAGGTCATTTGACATTCTGATGTTTTGCTTAAATTATTTTCAGAAGCCATCTTGTAAAGAATATTAATGTAGATAAGTGAGAGAACAGAGGAGGAAAGGAGATTAAAAGTAAGTAGTAAAACCATTGGGTATGAAATAAATACAGGGAATCTTAAGAAAGTTGAAGGGCACCATAATGCTGCTTCAGATCTCTGAAATAGGAAGAACCCCAGCAGTTATCTGGGCACACACAGCTCCCTCCTTTTGTTTCCTTTTCCTTGGTGCTTTCTTGAACCCAAGAAGCCTGAAAGCACAAAGGGCAGGAGAAAGATTACTTACCCTGGTTTCTATCTATACTAATAAAAGCGTAATATGCTAATTAGACCAAACGACCTTCTGGACGTCATTCCAGACAAAGCTGCAGAGGCAGTTAGGAGCAATCAGGCTGGCAGGCAGAGGCAGGTAGGGGCGATCAGGCAGGCAGAGGGGTTAGGGCTCATCAGGCAGGCAGACAGGTGAGCCATTAGGAGCCAGCGGTCCCGGATTGCGAGAGAGATCCCAAATTGGAGAGGGTGCAGGCCAGGCTGAGGGACACACACACACACATATACACCCCCCCACCTCCACCCCCGGTGCACAAATTTCGTGCACCAGGCCTCTAGTATTCAAAATAACAATCACAGGTAAAACTAAAGGGTGAGATGATCTCTTACTCATCTGTTAAAGCCTCAGGGAACTCCAAATATTGGAGAATCTATTATTACCTGGTTTTGACAGTTCACTGACTTCAGTGAGGCAAATCATTTTAACTCCTTTCTGCTCATGGGTTGAAGAGGAGAAGCAAGGCTCAAGAGTCTATGCCCTAGGCATTATATCACCACTAAACTGGATAAAACTTGGAAGATTTGGACCTGAGTTTAAGTTGTTTTAATTGGCAGAACTAATAGCCATAATCAGCTTTTGCTTGAGGTCATCTTTTTCCTTAGGTAGGAAACTGAAGCTATTGCTGCTGCTGTTTGAGATACACCTATCTCTTGAGAAGGAGAAAGGGGGATACTCGCCTACTAGTAGTTCTGAAATTAGCTGTTTTCTTTTTGTCTTTCACATGAAAAGGTTTTGAGTTGAGTCGGTGGGAAGTGGACAGAACCATTGAATTGCTAACAAATATAAAATCATGTAATTTAAAAGTTAATGAAAATTATTTACTTACTCCTATTTGAGATTCAATAAACATCTTGTAATTTTAAATCTTCATTTTTATCTCAACCTGTTTTGTCACTAGAGGGCAGGCATGAGTTGTGCTTCTGGAAACCATTTTTGTATTTAGTTGCTGCTAAACAGCCTCTTACTATATTTAATTTTCTTTGAAATTTCGTACAAAAAACTTAAAATAATTGCATTCCAAAATAGCCTATCAAGACTCTTCCACCTGCTGTTGCTACTGAGCCATCTGTTATTTTATCAAAGAGTGATTCTGACAAGAGCTCTTCCCAAGTGCCACCGATGCTACAAGAGTCAGATAAATCCAAGTCAAATACTAAGCAAAATAGTGTGCCTCCTTCACAAAGTAAGTCATCTCATTTTTGGTTCTTTTGTGTGCTCTCTGTACTGTTTATAATTGTTACTATCTTAAAAGCCTAAGATATTTAGACTTCTGATCGTAGTTTTTAGTTGATTTTTTTCTAGGGAGAGGAAAAGAGAAACATCAATGACCGATGTGTGAGAGGATAATCATTGACTGCCTCCTGCATAGCTCCTACTGGGGATCGAGCCTGAAACCTGGGCATGTGCCCTGACTGGGAGTTGAACCAGCAACCTTTCAGTGCACAGGACGATGCCCAACCAACTGAGCTACACTGGCCAGGGCAGAGGGTGCACATGTTCTTGAAATTGCAGATTGTTCATCATTTTTCTAGCTCAAAACTGGTAAAAAATGTCATCCATATGGTTAAACCAAATAATACATTGAAACTGAAAGAAAAAGAGGAAGGCAGACATAGAATAACCTAAAACATGTAACTAGAACTTGAAAACTTAAGCATAAAATCTAAGGCATTCTTAGTGGATTTCAAAGCATGTTTTCATTGGAGCTACTTTTATATTTTTGAAACAGAACAGTATTTACTATCCTCCTAACTTTTCTCTCTCCTGTTTTTTTGTTTTGTTTTAATTTTTGTTTTATTTTCTCTTTCAGCCAAGTCTGAAACTAGCTGGGAATCTCCAAAACAAATAAAAAAGAAGAAAAAAGCCAGGCGGGAAACGTGAATTTTCTTTTCCTGAATAGGACATGTGTTTGCTGACACTGTCTTGAAGATTATGCTGTTTATGCAATAATTTGTGAACATGTACAGAGTTTTATATAAATTTAAACCAATTTTTAAGAGAAAACTGTGAACACAACCACCATAAAAATGGAATCAAAGGAAAGTTAATTTATGAAATTAAGAGATCAGCAGAATATATATACTACATTGCTGGAAGACACTTGGGAAAGTCTTTTCAATTTAATGAGAACGTTCTTAATTCAAGAATATTATCCTGGTTTTACAACAGTGCCCTGTTTACAACAGATTGTGCCCTATTTCTTCTGCAACTGAGGAATAAAGGATTCTGATTAGAGAGAGGGTTGCCTACAAATTCGTAGGCAACTTCTCGGACCTTATGCACGGAACTTACACCATTTGAATCTGTTTTATGCTTAAATCAAAGTGCTTTGATCAAATGCATAATCTGCCATATCTTTACATATTTGTTGGTAGCAATTTGTATTAAAGGAATCACAAGTGCAAATAAAAAGTCATTTATCATTTATTTAACTAAACTGTCATGGTTTAGTTTACAATTTTTAAAAAGTTCTTAATTGAAAATGCAGTTGACACTTATGGCTTATGAACTTATTTTTGATAGTCTTACATTACTTGAATTGTTCAAAGTACAGTATATTTTAAATTAAGAATGGTAAACTGTATGTCTTTGTTTTATACTTTCAAAGATGAGACTCATAAATAATGCTCTTGTTTATGATTTGAAAACTTTCAAGCAAAATGTAACTTACATTTTTCCTTTCCCTAGCAATTTTTTCCAGTGTCATCTCTTCATTGCTAACACTTTTTGACTATAAAAATGAAATCTTTACAAACTAGTTCTACAGACAGAACTTTGAGTATATGATGGAGAATGGAAACCTAGAGTCAGACAGCTTTAATTGACATTGTCAAGACCTCCAGTTATCAGGAATACATTTTTTACTGCCTTAACCTGTAGTGCGTAGAATATGCATCAATTTCTTGAAGGGGATTCGTGTTTTTATAAGAATTTTTCCTGTAATTATTGCAATCATGGTCAAATAAGGAATGTTTCCTGCTTGAAACTATTAATTTAAATGCTGTGGGAGCTGTTTCACCATTTCAGGCACTGTGTAATTCTATTGTGATAAACTGGCAGGTATCTTTGTAACTATAAATAGTGCATGCTCAGCCATGTACACTGTAAATAGCCTTTACCAAACGTGTTTGACAAGGACCATAATTAACATCACTTAGTGAATTGTGATAAAGAAAAAAGCCATGATTTATTTGATGTGATTGGCTTAATTGTTTTTATGTGGCGCCAAGAATGAAACTGTTTAGCTGTAACCAATGGTACTGATCTATCCATCCAGCGTGTCTTTATTCTCTTTGATTGTGATTTGATAGTATTGCATTGTCAGTCTAGGAAAGCTAAAGAAACAAAATGGTTTTAGTTTTGCTGAAGACTGGCCTTATTAATGGACAGCTTTCCTAACACACGATTATTAACTCTTATCGGGTATTAACATCTGTTTCAGGAACACGGCAGTATGTTTACATGTCAGAAGTTTTGTTTATGATATTTCTAAATTGTTTTAAATAAATTCAGCAAATGGATAGCATTGTTTTTATTTGCTTCAATATTGGGATAAATATGCTAACATGTGAGGAATAGATTTCTTCAAATGACTTTATTCTGTTAGCTTTTCACATAGATGATTCCTAAGCAGATCCAAGGATTCCTATGTTGCCAGCACTTTGTAAAGGTCTGACAAAGGAGAATTCAGTAGGGTGTCTAATTTTAGGATGTGCCAAAAGATGTGTGCTCAAAAACTTAATTGAACTCTCTCAACTCTACCTCACCATTTCTTTATCCTAGAATTTTGTTGGCTATGTCAAGTGTTGGACTTTGTTTCTCCAGTTTAGTATCTCCCAGTCAACCATTTATGCCAGGTGTTAAAGACACTGTCTTTTAAGGAGAAATGAAGTGTGGAGGTGGAAAAGTAAGTTTATTCTCGTTCACATGCACCTGGTGCAAATTCCTGCGCAATTACAGTATTATTCTTGCTTGTTCTTTACCTGTCCCAGAGGTCTTTATGTGACATGAAAGGAGGTTCTCGAATCTGAACGCAGGAACTGTTTCCCATCATTAACTCAGAAGGCAAAAAATCAAGTAGTGCCGAAATCGGTTTGGCTCAGTGGATAGAGCGTCGGCTTGCGGACTGAAAGGTCCCAGGTTCGATTCCGGTCAAGGGCATGTACCTGGGTTGTAAAAAATTAATAAAATATATTTTAAAAAAAAATCAAGTAGTGATTCAGGGAGGAGGGGAAGAGAGAGGAAGGAGCCCATTGTCCCCTGGGTCTTGGATTAGTTGCTCCCCAAACTGTCAGGAGGGAGATGACTGATCCCTCTGGCCTAGAGGGCACCTTGTTCTGAGGAGCAATTAAGGCTCCTGTAGAAAGTATTTTAAAATCATCCTAATCCCTTCTGTCTCCGCACTCTGAAAATTCCTCCCTGTTCTGGACCAGGGAGTAGTGGTTTAGGGTTTTCCCAGGCGGAAACCTCATCTAACCATACTCTGGACTAAGTGAAACAGTTGAGAGAGTCCAAAAAGTATTAAAATAAAACATCATTAATGTAATTTACCATGTTTACTTTGTGCATGCATTCTGTTGGGGGGGAGGGGACAGTGAAAATAATACATTCAAATCTAATGGTTTTATTTCATAGACTAGTCCAGTTTGTATTTGGTTAAGAAATATTGAAGGGCAATATTTAACTACAGAGTTTAGTTTTTCTTCATTAAAAACTGTCCTCTATTAATATAAGGTCTTTCAAAACTTAGAATTTGGGTTTAAGATGTCTAATAGATGTCTTAAGTCTTTCCTGTAAACTCATTGCACAAACTGGAATTATTTTCCAAAAGACTTAGGGAATGCAAATACGTTATTTGTAAAATGCATTGAGTATTGTAAATAAAGCCATTTTTGTTTTGTTTAAATTGCTCATTCTAGATCTCTTATGGGGAGGGACTTCTCAGTCATTTTGCATCTTAAGCTAGTATAAGATCAATTACTTTTTGATGTTCTGGATGTTTCTGTCTAAAACCATAGGTGCGCTTGCAGGTTTTACCAGTCAAATATTTAGAGTTAAGCACCTCTTAGAGTGTCCATCAGTCGTATCAACCTTTGAGGTTAAGGAGTTGACTCTCATTTGGCATTATGTGTTAGCTTGGCCGTGTCCCCCAAAAATAACAACTTAAATAAGATAGTTTATTTCTCTCGAATGGAAAGTCTAGCTCAGGGCTGCAGAGTTGTAGCAGCTGGAAATGTCCTATCAGCATCTCTGCCCCCTTTAAGAACACATCTTACAAATCATTCACACCACATAAGCTTATCAGCACGAACTCAATCACATGATTCCTAGCTACCAAGAGGGATGGGCAAGAGTCTATTCTGTGTTGTCATTGGCCAAGTGAACATTTCAGGATCCATTACTGAGGAAGCAGCAGAGAACTGGGTGTGAGGCACCGCTAGTTGTCTCTGTCTAAGGATTGACATACACTAGGTAGGTTGTACCCAAGCATCATTTTTAAGATCAGGTTTTAGCTTATCCAACTGAGTGGAAAGTTTGACATCTCTTAGATGCTGCTTTAAGAAGCAGCTAATTTATATGTAGTATATTCTGGGAGAAATTTCTCATTGAAAGCTTTAAATTTCAGAGAAAAGCTGAAAGAAGTAGCCTATCACACATACTGCAAGTATGAGATTGTAACTAGTTTCAAGAATTATCGAAACTGGTGTGTAAAATAATCTTTAATCTTTTATAAAGGCATTACTACTTTCTAAATAATTTAACAGGAGAGTAATTTCCAACCCTAGTATCAAGACAGGTATATGAGGTGCATTGTAAATGTTTGTTGACTAATAATCATTACAGTATTGAGGTGTATGAACAGGCTAATTAGAAGAAAAATCAAATTCAACGTCATCCCCATCATAATGGCATTCTTATTTGTATATGTGTGCTTTCCTTTTTTATTTATTGTATCAAAATCTTTAAAATGAATATATGTAATATGTATATAAATTATAAAGCATAATAAAATGAACACCTAAAACCACCATTCTGCTTAAGAAATAGAACATTACCAGTGGGATATTGGGGGTGAACTTGACTTTTGTTGTTGTTTGGTAGTAGGATCCAAAAGGGAAAGCCAGGGATGAAAATAGCTCTCAATGCCCCAGCTTGTCCAGGTCCCTCTTGGTGCCGGAACTAGCTAAGGGTCTCCAGTGACATGTAGCCTCCTCGTGGGCAGCCTCCATGGTGCTACTTGGGGATGACGAATGCACGTGGATTGTGCCCCAGAGTCGTGTGGTGCACAGGGCAGCCTTTCCATGGGGAAGGAGGATGATGAGGCAGAAGAACAGCAAGTACCCGGCTTCGGGGCAGGTTCCTCGTGAAGTTTATTAAGAGTCTGCAGACCTCCTGACAAATGCCACGAGGGGGGTCATGGCAAGACAGAGCTGTTAGTCAAGATGGGGGAAGTATGGGTGATCTATTTCTCTTCTAAATCTTCTTTAAGTAAATACATAGATGGGATTACCAGGAAAAGTTGCTACTCCCATTTCTTATCAAAAGTGAAATGATCACAACAATGAAAGACGGAAGAAAACCTGCCTGAGACGAATGAGGGAAGGAGGCATTTCTGTCGTTAGCAAATAAAATCCAGGAAATTATCAAAAGGTGCAAGTGTTAGCCCGTATCAGAAACTCTGTTAACATTTTATCACAAAATTAAAACAGAAAAGGTGATCATGGTACTGCTAAGTAAGTTTTTAAAAATTCAGTCATCCAAATCTTAGATTTTTTTTTAAACTTTAAGTGAAATACTAAAGTCATCTGATTAAAATCATATCAAGGCAGGGTTACCTGCTAGCCAGCATTGCCTTAGTGGTGTGTTGGGAAAATTTCCCAGGGCTGACAACTCGATCATTAATTATATCAGGAGTTTATTAAAGGAACTTACATACAAGGCACATGGCAGACGCTAAAGAATTCTATAGAATAAGCAAGATAGATAGGGCCCTGGTGCTTGACCCAGCCCAGATAAGGGGAAATGCCTGACACGCCGGCTGAGATCTGGGCAAAGGCCTGCCCCAGAAACCAGCGTCGGTTTTGGGGGGAGGGTTCTCACAGTCAGACTCGGGCTGTGTGGGAAGCAATCTTGGTTCCAGCTAGGATCCATCTCCAGGGTCCTGCGGTGGTCACTTTATGGAAGTCTCTCCTCCACAAGAGGGATTAACACGAACATTGAAAAATTAGTATAACAAAAAAAATTTTTTTTTCCTGATTGTATACAAGATACAACGCTGCCAGCACGGGGATGAGAATACACTGGAGTGGCTGATACTCAAAAAAAAAAAAGAGGCCGGCCGGCATGGCTCATGGCTGAGCATCAACCTATAAACCAGGAGGTTTGATTCCCTGTTGGGGCAGTTGCCCGGGTTGCAGGCTTGATCCCCAGTGGGGGGCGTGTAGGAGGCGGCCAGTCAATGATTCTCATCCTTGATGTTTCTATCTTTCCCTCTCCCTTCCTCTCTGAAATCAATAAGAGGTATATATTTTATAAAACAACCCGAAGAGCTTTCTGAAATTCCGATTACATCACAATGAAATCTATCATATCTAGAAATAAATTTTCAAGAATGACAAGACCATGTGAAAACTGTGAAGTCTTACTGAAGGACAGAAACCAATATGACATGAAAAACTGCCGCATTCTTTGTTTGGAAAACAAAATACCAATCTTCCCTAAGTTAACATACAAATTGAGTTCAGTTTCAATTAGAAAGCAATAGATTTTTTTTTTTAAGTACCTCACAGATTATGAAAGCAAATTATTTAGAAAAAATCGGCTAAGAAAAAGTAGTAGGCAGCAGCAGGAGATGGGTGGGGACTAGCCTTAAGAATACCAGGTATCAGGCCCTCGCGGTTTGGCTCAGTGGACAGAGTGTCTGCCTGCAAACTGAAGGGTCCCAGGTCTGATTCTGGTCAAAGGCATGTACCTAGATTGCAAGCTCCATCCCAGGCCCTGGTTGGGTGCATGCAGGAGGCAACCAATCAATGTGTCTCTTTCATCATGGATGCTTCTATCTCTCTCCCTCTTTATTTCTGTCTGAGATCAATACATTTTTTTTTTAAAGGAGATACGTGCCTGTGGGGGAAAGAGAGGGAGAAGGGAATGGGACAGACTTGCTTCCTGCAGGGAGAGCACCGAAGCTGTTTTTAAATAGACGTCATATTAGGTTTACAGAAAAAAATGAGCACATAGTACAGAGCGGGCTCGATCCCCAGTAGGGGTTTTGCAGGAGGCAGCCAATCAATGATTCCCTCTCATCATTGATGTTTCTCTCTCTCTCCCTCTCCCTTCCTTTCTGATATCAATAAAAATATATTTTAAAAAATAACACCGGTATCAGATAAAATATGAAACTGCTTGTTACCTGTCAGGATTCTTACCAGTAGTTGTGAAACCCTTTGGCTAGTTTAAACTGGAAGGGAATCTGGAGGCACCAGAGGTGCAGGTCCTCACTCCCACCCCAGAATAGGGTGTG